TACACCAAGAGAAATTATTTCATTGAAGTTGAAGTTGAAGTAAACGGTCTCTCCATTGCTTTCCTAATCAATAGGAGGAAAAAACAAGGAAGGTAGACTCAGAAGACCCAGATTTAAAACTTCCCCTCATGCCCAGCTGGTGGTTCATGCCTGTAATCCCAGCACTCGGGGAGCTGAGGCAGAAGGATTGCTGTGAGTTCGAGACAGCCTGGGCTACATAGTGAGTTTCAGGTCAGTCACAACTACATAGTGAGACCCTGTCTCAAACACACACACACACACACACACACAAAGTTCTCCTTGCCCCTAGTCACTGAAATACTTAGTGTATAGAGTCAAGAAATGTTTATTCAATTATTTAAATTATTTCACTTTTCTCTGTTCATGCTTTTTCTATCAAATGAGAATGATGTTATTTTTACAGAGTTGTTGGAATATTTAATGATCAGTAAATATTTTGTAAATGAGCTATGCAAGAAATAAGCAAGATACAAGAAATATCTATGTGTCTTAATCAACTAATACTTTCATCTCTTTGACACAGACAAATTTAAACTGTGACTTCCAAGAGGCTTCATAATGTGGCAGCATTTCCAGAGATGACAAGCTTGAAAGCTATTGCTTTCCTAAAAGATCATCTTCCGAAACTAATGAACTACACTGCTGACTGACCTCAGGATAAATGAATGGTGGAGAATTAGACTCCTCTTTTTAAATGCTTCATATCCTTTTGTCCTCATTTCTTATCTTAGTCACTTTCATGACACTGGGACACAATACCCAATACCCACTACATAAAGGAGAAGAAGTTTATTTTGGCTCATAATTTTTAGATATTTGCATAGTCAGCTGGCTACAAGGCACACAGAGAGGTCAAAGAAGGATAGAGAGAGATAGACCCTTCCAGACCATGCCCCAGTGACCCACTTCCTCCACCAGGATTCACCTCTCAACACCACAGTTAGCTACAAACTCATCTGTGGGCTAATCCAATAACCTTACTAATTCTCTTCTGCCACCCTCGGCCTTCTTGTCCTCCTTCCTGCTCCAAAAGAAAGATATCTCCCAGATGCTACCTTATATGAAGGAGTAAACCAATCACCATTTGCTACCACATGACTGGGTTTACACCTTTGCTCTGTCACTTGCAAAGCATATGACCACAAAGCACAAGTCACTTCTCTTCTATCAAATCAGTTTTCAAGAGGAAGGGGAGGGTTTGAGAATGGGTAATAGGGAACATGCATATGATCACATTTCATTATATACATTGAACTCCCCAAAATGTGAAACTAGGGGAAGAATGATAAAAGGGGGGGAATGGGCAGGGATGACTAGAGGGTGTTGTGTGCATATACAAACCTGCCAAAATGAAATGCATTAATCTGTATAACCAATATACACTAACTAAAAACTATGGGGAAAAAGAAACCAAACCAGAGTTTCATTTGTCGTTCAGGAACTCTGGGCCCAACCTCAGAGAATCTGTTGAGTATCCAGTGGATGAGGTGTGGAAGAAGCTGGTACAGAGAGAGGGGCATCCAACAAGTCACAGATCTGTCCCTGCATTTCCTAGTGTCACCACACCTGGGTCTTGTGGACTTTAACTGGAATTAGTTCCTTGGACTGAAGAGAGCAAGTGTGAAAGATGAGTCCTTCTGTGAACCTCCACTAGAAGGCCAACATCCTTACTTTGTAATCCATGGCACTATTTACCTTTCCACTGTGCCCTTATTGCATTTTTAAACTGTGAATTTGTTGCTGCAATCCTTTGAAGTTTCCTTACTGGTGTGGGTATGTTCCACGAGGGTTGGGAGCAGGTCTGTTTTCTATCAAGTCCCAACATGTAATGCCTCAAATGATGAGTAAATGAATGAGTTGTTATAGAAGGAAATGATAGGTGTTAGTCCCACGTGTTGATAGGAAGTGTCTGGATATACTCTGTCTCAAGACCCTGGTATTTATAGTGTGAGACTTAGAGAGGGAAAGCTATTCACTTCCCTTCTTCAGCCTCTTCCATCCCATTTAGCTCCGAGCTTCACTGCATTTCTACTAATGAAAAATGATTTAAGAGGACATTTGTGAAAGCAGTGGAAGGCTTTTCCAAAGCTCAGGTACAGGAGAATTGGGACAAAGAAGGATTAAATTGGCCATATCCCTGTCTAAACCATGCTTAATCCATTCTTAGGAGTGGGAGGAAAAGAAATGAACTTGATCTGTAGGGGTCTGGACAAACCTAGGAGCCTTTTCAAAAATTTTCCCCAGGGCCAGGTAGTTAGCTCAGTGGTGCTGTCACATGCCTCACAAGCACAAGGTCCCAAGTTTGATCTCTGCCGGGGGGGGGACCCTAATCTGTAGAGTGCACATAGATAGGCCCAGCAACAGCTACAATCAAGAACAAGGCTGAGCAACATCCCATCTCAGTCTTTCTCATTCCTCAAGGACCTGGATATGACGTTCCAGTTCTAACCAGTCCCAGCTTGTCAAGCCTCCGCCCATCCCCAAGCTCAGAAAGGCATTCAGTCAGCTTCTCAGGCCACTCTCATGATCAGAGAGCTTTGCCAGTTACTACCCTCAACTCTCATTAGCCTTAGGCTTCCCAAAGCAAGTGCATTAGCAGTACAGCCCAGTGCACCAGCTGGCTACACTGGACTCTCTAGAATAGCTTATTTAGTTGTAAATACTTCATGGAAGCATTTCAAGGGCATACGAATGAAAAGGTTGCCCCAATAAATGATTCATCAGTGTTATAAAAGTAAAAAGGAATTGCTTGCTTCTCCCAGTTTATGATTGTGAAAGACAAAGACCACTCCCAGCACCCCTCCTCCTGCACCCCAACATCTTTATGGGATCAGAATCACACCACATCCCTGAGTCTGAGCATAGTGAAGCCCCCTTCCCAGTGGCCCACCTTACACAGGGACACCATGCCAGCTTCCACTTTGGGCTCACAGTTTGGCACAGGAAACTTCTGTCTACTCTTATCGTCCTGCACCACCATTAACATATTATAGGAGCTGAGGACACAGAGGCACAACAGCAGGGCCTGGTCACAACCCTGGGGTCACAGACCCAATTGGAAATGGATGAAAGAGGCAGGGGAGAGGTCAGAGATGGGAGCGGCCACTGCTGGGGAAGATGTCACTGCTGTGGTTGTTGGTTTCCAGGTTGAGATCGAGCTTCAAAATACAAGTTGTACCACACCTCATCTCAGAGCTCCTCCCACATCAAGCCCAAGCCAAGGCTGAATATAAACTGTAGCTGTGTGCATGCTGATGAGCATAACTCAGCATTCCTCTTAACGACATTTTTATTGCATCACACAGATATTAAAATAGTAATTATAATAACAAAAATTTTCTAAGAATCTTATCATTTCTCTCTGGACCATAATTTCCCCATCTGTTAAATAAGGAAGTTGGGCTGGATAATTCTAGCTTCTTCTGGGGGAACGAATAAGGTTTTCTTCTTTTTTATACTAATAAAAAAATGTAGGTTCTCGTTAAATAATCAAAACAAGATGGAAAAATTCAAAGAAAAGTATACCAAAATTCTTTTATACTCCCACTATCTGGAAATAACCATGGTTAAGCATTAAGTTTATATCTTCTAAGATTTTTTTGCTAACAAACATTTACTGGTACATTTTAGGTGCACATAATGATAACACGCATCATAGGGAAATTGCATCTGTAGTATTTCTTGTTTTTACAAAATATATAAGTGTACTATCTATTAAGGCTTTTAAAATTATATACATCATACATGTCTGTTCAGGTCAATGCAGTTGTAGCTATATTTCATTTTTGGTGACTGGGTATCTTTCTATGCAGCACATCTTCAGTTGAGTAGACATCTACATTTTCACTATTAAAAATAAAACATCAATGAATGTTATTGGACACATACCTCCATACCCTCAACCACTTACTTCTTTGTGACTCATTTTTAGAAATAAAATTGTGAGGCCAAAAGTGTGCAAGTCTGCAGCCCTTTTTATTTATGTGCAAATCAGCAACTTTATTATCAAAGAGTTCAGCATCACAAAATTTCTAATTCTAAAGGGTTTTCTTTACATAACATCATACTGTGATACAGTATTAGAAGAATCAGACACTACTTCCCATTCTAGTTGCTCTTACACTTGGGTAATTTGTTTTGAGCTAAAAAGTATAAATATCTCTGTCTTGTGAATGCTGTGCTAGATGAAAAGGAAGTCTGCAGGCCTTTTCAGTCTCAGCAGATGATTCCTAGGTTGCCCACCTCCCCACTCCTCAATCCATTTGCTGTGATATGAATTTGTCCCCTGAAAATTCGTGTGGTGAAAACTTAATCCCCATGCAACAGTGCTGGAAGGTGGGGCCTAGTGAAAGGTGTTTAGGTCATGGGGAAACCACTCTTCCGAATGGACAGTGCCACTATGAAGCACCTTGAGTCTGCAAGTATGATCTCTTGCTCACTCTCTCCTTCTCTGGCACTCCACTCTCTGCCATGGGATGATGCAGCACAGAGACCTTTGTCACATGGTGGTATCATGCTCTTGGTCTCCCCACCCTCCAGAATCATAAGCTAAATAAATTTCTGTTCACTGTAAATTACCCATCCAGTAGTATTCTGTGAAAGCAGCATAAAATGGATCAAAGTATTATTCTTTTTATTTTTCCCAAATAGTTGAAAAATAGAAACTTGTTTCTGTAATTGAATTTTTAAATTTTATCTTTGTAATTATTTTATAATCGAATCTTATCATTCAAATGTTATTTATTGTCTAACATGATGCCTAGCAAACACTGGACGTTTCCCAGATGGAAATGAAATTATGCTTCCTGAGTTCTGGAACACTAACCTGATGGCACACTTGGTTGGTGAAACTAAGGTATGTGTCCATTAAATGTTTCCATGTCCAACCCCAGGGCAATGTGACCCAGATTAATTATTAATAAATGGGCTCAGCAGATTGTTGAATGAAGTTGAGGTCTTCCCTCCACTAGAAGCATTCATATACCCATAGGCTCAGCAGGACAACAAAGAACCTGTCAGGATTCTTGCAGAAGAGCTGCCTGCATTCTGTGACTAGGTACCCCACATTATTTTTCATTACTTTACAATCTGTCTCTATTTGATCGGTCAATCCAGTTCAACAATTAGGTGGGAAGAAAAAGAGTCAGACTGATTGTTTCACTTTTCTGTAAGAATTGATTGTTCAACTTGGACAAAAATGTTGATCCCATTTTGCATGTGGAGATAGTCAATTTAGAAGAATTGTTCTTGTTGGTTTGAACCCAGGGAGACAGAAATTAAATCTGACACTGCAGCAGAGGCTGACATGTGGGAGAAGGTGAACGAATCACTAAAATCCTTAGAGTTTTCCCCTCTGGTTCCTTAGCATCTTGCAATCTGGTTGCTACAGCAGAGTGATATTAATTATTGACAATTTAATAAACATTAAGCAAACATTTATAATTGGTGGTAATTCGATGGTGCAGAATCGTTGACTCTGGCCAAGGGAATCATGAAAGATATTGAATAACAGGTGTAGTTGAAAAAAAAAAAACAACAACAAAGGCCCTGAAAACAAGGTCTATCCAAGTTGGGCCTCATTATCTGGGCAGGGAAGTTAAAAAGAGGAATCCTAGGGACCAACTTTCTCCCCTTGGGACTCTCAGGTCTAGTCAGGAGGAACAGAAGCCAGCTGGAAGCTACCCTTTGGCCTGCATTGGGGTGAGGAATGTTTCCAAAGAAAGCATTCACTGTACATACAAACTGTTGTTTAAAACTGAGAGCCAGGTGAAAGGCACAAGCACCGTCTCTTTGCATGCCTCATATTGGAAGTAATCTTGGGAAAATGCAAAGGATAATACAAAAGGAAAACTAGGAAGTTCATATTGTGGAGATTAGAACTGGAGTCGACAGAAAGAGATCAGAGAAATGCAGAGAAATTTTTCATCCTTAGAGCTTCGTAAGTAATATGAGACTCGTCCAGTGAATCTGAAACTCACACTTCCAGAGAAAAGGTAGGATGATGAGGGATCTGGCCAGTCCTTGGTGAATGCAAAGGAATCCCCTATGCACTGCAGTAGAAAGGTGCAAGCTTTATGGTTCAGAGGTGGATGGGAGTCCCTGTCAAGCAGGCATGATAGAAATTATTGGATTAAGCACATGGGAGGTGACAGAAAGCCCACCCTCGCCCCAGTTTATTAAACTCACCAACCATATCTATCTCTATTGTTCTTAGTGGTACAAATAAAAGCATCAGATATGACCAGGAAAATGTATTTTAAGATTTATGAAATCTGAAGCAAGAAACCAAATGATTTGGAAGCACAGTTGGTACTTTCATTGCTTCTTCATGTCAATAGATAGGATTTAGGAGAAGGGGAAGCCAAAGAGATGAAGAATAGGCTCTGCAGATGGCATTGTGGGCAGGATCTGGGTTGTTAGATCATGGCTTAAGATGCCAAAATTGTGGAATAGTGGCTAAGGATAGAGTGCATCTCATAAGGACAGGAAACAACTCACCCAGCAGCTCACTGATGACATCAAGAATGTTTTAATAGTTCAAGTCTGGTGAAATGTTGATAACCTTCTTGGGACAGATACAGAGATAGGCTGATCTGCCCTAGCTGCTACCCCCTAGATATTAAACTCTTTCACACCCACCTGCGTTTAAACCAAGGCCACACTCCTCTCACCATGCCCCAGCCAATAGACTCCTGTAATGAGCACTCTTTGCTCCAGACCTCTCTTTCAGCTGTCAGACACTCAAGAGACAGACATGCAGTTACTCTGCACAATCCTGCTCCATTTTTTCCTTTTTGGGGGGTTTTGATTCTCTATCTCCACCCAAGCATCTGGCTGCCAGATCAGCAACTGGGGTTCAGACTGAGCATGATGTAGCTCATGTAGGGGTCATATTAATCTGATAAAGAAGTAAAGGGACTATTCCCCCAAAGAATCTGCCAGAATTAGTTAACATTTACCAAGAAAAATTAGAGATTACTTGTGGGACTGATGCTGTGGGTCTTCCAACACAGGAGCACACTGACTTGGGGCATTCTCTAGCATATTAGATTTAAAACCCAGACAAGGGCCCCAGGAGGTGGCACAAACCAGTTGGTAGGACAGCTCCTAGGGCACTGGAGAAAGCTATGGCCCATGCTAAGCAAGGCTGAAATGCCTGAATTGTCATGGCAGATGGCAGAGGAAAGGATCAATGGGCTTAGAGTAACAAGATGCTGCAACAGATATATCTTATACAATCAGAAGGCCCAATAAACTCTATGCTCACAAAGAAGGACCAAAGGATACACAGTTCATGAAGGCTGTCAGGAATGTGGTGGTGAGGGGCATCAGCAACACTAAGAATCTCAGAAGTGGCCACTCTTCGCAGTCCAGGGCTAATGGTAAGGAGTAACTGTCACAGAGCTGGGATCAGTGACAGTAAGGGTGATGACAGAACTTTGAAAAAGTAGAAGCAGTCTTCAATGACTAAAGCCAGTGGCTGTAATTATTGAAATAAATAGCAATACAGGAGAAGCAGGTAAGGACTCAGAGAGCTGGGATGATGGTTAAGAGGATTTGGATGGCATCTGTAGGGCCCAAGAAGACAGCCAATAAAGACATTGGTTAATATATATGTAATCAAAATAAAGGGGAAATGATGAAAAGGAGGCTAGGAGAGGTCATCCCAATTAATAAGTCATGATACACTGTCCAGACCCTGAGTTTGTTGATTACAGAAGTAGCCAGTTCCCAGGAGGGACCTGGCAACACCATGTAAATACATACTGCAATGGGCCTCCTAGTCCTTCCCCTTGGGGATATATGAATTTACTTGGGTGACTGTACATTAGGGAAATAATAATACCTTAACCTGTTTTAAATTGACAGAGAATAATTGTATATACTTATGGGGTACAGGATATCTGAACTTTTGGAGGATAATTGGGCACAGGCTCTGAGTTGACATTTCTATCCAGGGACCTGAGCCCTCATTACAGCGAAGGCAAGTAGCATCAGGTAAGAAACAGAGTCCTGGCCAAAATCCAACTTAAAATGATTCCTCAGGGTCCAAGAACATATCCAGTAGCCAATTCCCCAGTTCCCAAATGTATATTGGGATTGGAATATTCTGCAACTGGGATAATCCTCACTTTAGATCCATTGTCAGGGATAAGATCTAGACACTGAAGAAAATGTAGAAGCCTCTGTGATTGACCTCCCTATAAACCCAATCGAGATAGTGAAAACAAAAATACTAACCACCACATTTGGGGAGCAGGGGTGACAGATGAGTGCCCCTGTTAAAGATCTAAACATGCAGGGATGGTGATCCCCAATATAGCTGTTTAATTTATCCATCTGACTCTGGAAGAACTGTTTGGAATGGCCAGCTGATGCACCATTTGCAAAGACAGAACAGTGTCCTCGAAGATGCAACATATGCCATGGATTAGACACCTCCTTGCAATGCTAAATAAAACTGTACCCAAAGGCATAAACACACGGATCTGGGAAACAAGGGATGGAACTAGGAGTGGTTCATTTACCATCATTCCTAATGACCCCTTGGAGATCTCTGTTCTTCCCATCCATGGAATTCTGGGCTATGCAGGATTAATAGACCTGGTCCTTAAAGGATTTCTTAGACCACAGTTAGGGCTGCTGCCTAGGTACTTTGAACTTTTGCATCCAGTGACCAGCAGGAAAGGAAAGGAGTCACCATGGTGGCACTGGTGACTGAACCTGTTCAGCAGGAGCACATGGAGCATCCATTACACAATGGTGTCAGGGAGAAACATGTAAAGATCTAGGCAGTCATTTGGATGCTTCTATCCTTCCTTGCCATATTGCTTAATAACAATCTTTAATGGAACAGTGCAGCAGCTCTGGCTTGAGATGGTTGTGTTTACAGGAGAACACTTGGCCCAACCTTGAAAGTATGGTCAACCGACATCCTCTAGCTTTTCAACTCCATCAGCTACACCAGCTTTGAGCTGAGGTCACAGTGCTCTGTAGGTAGTATCAGCCAATGATTAAGTAAGACTACCCACCCAGCTAACTCTGCCAATGCAGGACTATTCTAAAGACTAGCTTGGTTCTGGACCTCTTTGTTGAGCTAACAGAAACTTTGTCGGCTCTATATCACATCCCTTTCCCCTGCCCAATCCTGCTCTCATCAATGGCTATCATTTCCTACAAGACTTTTGTCCACCTAACTCCACCTCCACAGCTGCATCCCAGAAGGAACGAGTCAACTCACTGTTGAAACCAGGTGATTTACATGAAGGTTGATTGTACCAGTCTTACCAGTTAGGAGTATTTTGAGCATTTTCATGTTTAAAATTTTAAAGAAGAAAGACAATTGAGAAGGGGGGGAAATAATATTTTAAACACTGAGCATAGATGAGAAGAAATAAAAATGTTTAGAAAAGTCATGCTATAATTTATCACTTCTAATGCTGTGAAAACCTGATGATACAACATCAAAAAATAAATGAGTGAGCAGTTTTTTTGTTTTTTTGCTTTTTTTACTGGAAAGCATACAGCAAAGAAAAATGTTATAATCTTAGATGTCTTATTTTACGCCAGTTAGCAGAGCACGAGTAACAAAATAAACTGAAGATAATTTGAAAGAAATTCTTACAAGATAGGGCAATAAATATGACCTTCTCTCACCAAGCTTGAGAAAGAAGAAACACAAAATTGAAATATGTTGATGGAACCATATGGTTCTATTCAAGACGAATAGCCCTGTTAGGGGAAGATATTATGCAGAATGCTGTATCAGGAAGATAGACATCTCTGTAAAAACCAAGGACCTACAGATGGATGTAGATTGAAGAGCGATTAGATAAGGAGACAGGAATAGAAGGAATATTGTTGCAGTGTAGGCCAGCATTTCTCAAATCTAGGTAACGATCAGAATTGCTTAGGAAACCTTTCAGATATAATTTCTTGGTCCCCTACTATGTTACAAGTTCTGGACACTGGACCCTGAAATGTATATGTTTATAATTCCCCAGTTGAATCCCTAATACACAGGCCAGGCCAGCAGGCCCCATGAATAAAAAGGTTGGCAGATTCCTAACAAACACATTGTTTTTCTTAAATTTCTCTGGGCACAATTTTATAATACTGGGCAATTTCAACACTCCAAACATTGACTAGAAGCCATATTTAGCCAAAAGCAGAGGAGCAGAAAACTTTCCTTATTAAGTTTCTATTAAGATGGAGCATTTGAAGGGGAAAACTACTGCCCTCAATTTAATTGTGACCAACTAGATTAAAGTAATGTTTAACAAAGAGGATGAGAGAAGAGCCTCAGAGAAAAGGTCACTGGGCTCACATAGTCTGAACCAGCAGATGCAAAGACAGCATAATTCAGAGATCAAATCTGAAAGTAAAGAAAAACATAATTCCAAGGGATGAGAAAGAAAGGGTCATTGTGTTCTGCATGTTTCAGAAGTTTCTCAGACATTCAAATTTCACCAAGCAGTTACAGGTGGGGTCAGTGATAAAGGGGGCGGGATCTAAAACAAATACCAAAACTCAACAAATAAATACAGAAACAAATAAAATTAATTTATCACTTTATTATAATTTCAGCTTTGATTGTCCACCGAGGGTCTTTCTAAAAAAACATACAAGGCCTTTCCTCACTCCTTGAAGTTTGTATTCATTCAACTTGTCTAGCATAGAAAATCAAGCAAATTTTAAAGTCTCCCAGAAGGCTCTAACATTTGACTGCAAACTACTGCTCTGGAAATTTAGATTTTAAAGGACAGAATGAGGATTCAAACCAAAATTTTTTAAAAAAGTATAAGAAAGTAACACAGCATTTTATCAAAATGACCTAAAGTAAGCAAACAAACAAAAAATGCAAAAACAAAATTGACATACTCTCCTACTATGTTTGGGATAAGTTAGAGATCAGACAAGATAGGCCCACTGTCTGGGAAGAAGCCAAGAAAACTCAGAAAGCCTGAAATGAATCACTATCTTTCCTATTTTCTAAAATGGCCAGAAAATGGATTCTGCAAACTAGGGATGATTGAGTTTGATATGGAACTCAAACAAGATTCCAAAAGGTATTACCAAAGCACTGTTATAATAGGCACCCAAATGACAAAGAGGTGATTATAGGACCCAGCATGGGTTCGTGAGAACAAGTCCTGTTAGACCAGCCCATTTCCAATCCTCAGCAGGGGTCTGGCAGATGAAGACAATGTGCTCACATTTCCATTCAGGATTCTGGACTTCAGCAACACGATAGGCAATGTGTGTAATGGTATACTTGTGGTGAAGATGGAGAACCTCCGAACATTTTAGTGGGTTTCTATGAAGGCATCATACCCAAAGAATACCCATTGAGAAATTGATGTTAAACCTGGGGAGGCGTTCCCAAGTCCTAGTGATATCTCTGCCACAGATATAGTTCACAGCCCTGTGAGCCCTCGTATTTTTATCAGTGACTTAGGTGGATGCACAACAGGCTGCTCCTCATTTCTACAGCAGACACAGGTGGGGTGATAGTTGATATTACATGGAAGAATCAGAGCCTCACAATATTTTTCATGGGCTGGAATGTTGCATTCATTTCTGGGCCCACTATTAAAAGTGTGATATCCAACTTGCAATACATCTTTAGGGAGAAACCCCAGCAAGTTATATGAAAAGCAAAATTTTTTTAAAATTGGCCTATTCGTTGAGAGAAGACAATGAGTGAAAAGATGCCTATCTTCCATAACTAGAAGTCTGTTTGTGGAAAAGGAATTAAACTTATGTGTCCTAAACTGATTCAACAAAGACCTGCAAGCTTTGGGGAGATGAAAGCCTACCTATGTGAAACCAAATATTAGCAATGTGTTGTTGAAAAATACAACCTCTTGTTCTTCATTACTGAATCCCACACCACTGTATACATTCTGGCAGAGGCTGGCTGCTCACTACAAGGATGGTGTGCCGGAAAATCCAGCTCCAAATAAAACTGGATGACCTTGAGGGACATTTAGATCCTGGTATGTATGACTCTAAGTATGTAGAGTAGACTTGCATAGCATATTAGCCACAATTCTGTCCATAGGGAGGGAAGGAGATGGAGCTATAAATAGGCTGGAAGGCAGCAGGAGTTTTAATATCATCTTGGATCGGGGGTCAATCATCCATTGTTGAGTACTTGATTCCATTCAGGAATCCAAAATGGGACAATCCATTGCCCACCTGGCAACTCTGGAGTGGAATCGCCCTTTTCCTCAATTCCAGTGTGGCCAAAACTAAACACACCCTGAACTCCAAAGGATGTCTAAGTGGGCCTTTTACTAAAGGTTTTGAGTTAGTCCTCGAGAAGCTGGTCCTGAGCAGGTATAAGGAATGGAGACTCGCTCTAGATGCTCTCTCCCTTACACCATACAACAGGACTCACACTATCAGCTTCCAAGACAGCCCATGTGGATTCCTCCTCTTTCACAGCACCTGTCCTGAGGTCTTCTTCAGGATGCTCCCCAGTGCCCTTGAACCCTTTCTCTCCAGAACCTCTGCACCTTTAGATTAACAGACGACAGGCTCTTCTGAAGATCCTGCTGCCTTGAGCTTCAGCTGGCTGGAGTGGAATCTTTCACTGAGATTTCAGGTATTTGTTGGTTCCATGATGGGAAAAAGCATGGAAAGAAGTAAAAGTGGATGCTCTTTAGGGGGCATCAGGCAAGGGATGAAGAGCTGGGTTTGTCCATAGTTTTACCTCTCTCCACTGACTACGATCTGGCTATTTATGGAAAGTCTCTGAAGAAAACATACTTTGCCCTGCAAAAATAAAATTCTTCCTGAAGACCACAAGTTTGGATCTAGGAGTGCATATTTCTCTTACTGACATACCTCAGATCTACTGCAATTCTTATGAGCCAGAGCATGGAGATGGCTCTACCCTCCACACTAAACCCTACGCTGCTCCACACCTATCCGCTTGTGAAAATGTAAGATTACCAGCTGTGTTTGGCTCCATCTAAGCCAGGAAAATGGCCCTTGCTATCCCTGATATCCCTGGGGCATCTTGGGGTCCTGGACAGAGTACCTTGCTAGCTTCACTAGGATCCAGCTACATGTTTTCCTTAAAGTAGTTTTCCAGGTAGCTTGGTAAAGAAACTGGGTTCCCTTCTGGAGAAGTTAAATCTCAATTGTCCTCGGGCTTTTTTCCCAGATGAGGAATCTCCAGGATGCTTGTTAGACTAATCCCAGAGCACATAATAACAGAGTGAGGACTGAACTCTATGAAGCTGGCCATTAATTCATCTGTCTGTATCTGTAGGTTAGAAAACACTGCAAAACCTAGAAAGGGAATGATATTGAAGCCACTGCCCAAATAAGGCCCGGGAATTACTAACAGATTTAATTTATCCAGATTATCCCCTGGACACTCACTATCTCATGAAATGGATATTGCTGCACATTTATTAATATTGAACTTAATGCTCTTTGCAAAAATGTTAATCACACAATCACCTGCTCAAATGCTTGTATCAAATGGTCAGGCCACTTGAGCTCCACTGGTTGATTCTGAGCTTCAAGAAGGGAGAATTTATATGTAGGGAATCTTCAAATGGAGATGTCACTTTAAACCAATGTAATTTTAAAGGCAGGAAAATAAGTTGTAACTTGTGCATGCTAAGTGTAGCTCCCATTTGCACAGAAAAGAAAAAAGAAAAATAGTTCCAGATGATGATCATGATGGTGATGACACTCATTCGACACTTCCTGTGTGCCTGTCCTAAGCATTTCATGCACTTGTAGTAATTTAACCCTCACAGCAGCCCTGTGAAGTAGTACTTTATTCCTGTGTTACAGATGAGGACATTGAGGCAGAGAGTGGATAAGGAGCTTGTCTGAGTTTACACAGCGGATAGAGGCAGACCTGGAACTGAAGCCCCGGTGAGCTCCCTGTAGGACTACTCTCTTGATCCCTGCAGGGAACACTTCTGAGTTTCCATCCCCAGCCTCTGGAAGGAAAGACGCAGGCTGCACATTAAAGGAGGTGTTGACTCTAAGGCAGCTTCCCTTGTTCATGCCTTCATTCATTCAATTCATTTCTTGGTTAGACATCTCTGCCACACTAGAAGATGGGGACTGCAAAGGTCCAAAGGGCACAGATTTCTTACACTATTGCTCTCTCTTTTTTTTCTCAGTCTTGCATCATTTCTTCTTTTAAAGCACTAGCAAATCTTTCCACCAAAGAACAGAGGACCATCTCATCAGGAAACTGGGCCACAGATGAGAAATGAGGCGCACTGGATATGTCACCCGCTTTGCAACTGCCCCAGGTCTGAAGTTCACTTCTGGGGTACATCTCCATGAGTTTGCCAAGACCTGTCCACAGGGACTCCCTGGCTGATAGTGCACATCTCTTCCCAAGTCCAGTTCTGGGAATGGCCACGGGAGGACTACTGACACCATGAAGTCGGCAAATGCTACAACTCAAGATATGCATGTGTGCATGTGATCTTTCAAGTGCCAGCTTACCAGCCTGTCACTGCACACGCTATGGGCTGCCTCCCTGAGAGACACAGTGACAAGCCTCGTGCCATTCTGCTTTCTCCAGTAACTGCATTTAGGATAATGCAGAGTACACACTTGTCTTCGCTCATGATTCCCTCCAGAGCTATTATCATCTGTCAAGCAGAACTTTCATTATGAACATTTTCCCTCCAAAGAGGCACTAAACCACTGAAGTTAACTGACTCACGACTTCCCTCATCACAGGCACAGACCCAGCATCTCTTCACATCTGCTGACTCCCTCCCCAAAATTCCCAGCTTGCATTTTTGCTTCATTCTTCCTCTCAGCTCTGTTGAATCCTTTACTCCTGGCATCAATTAGAGCTACAGTTATATTTGCCTTTGAATCCTAGTGGAATTCCCTTTAAGCCTCAGTTTTACCATCTGTAAAATGGGGAGCATAGTAGAACCCAATCTCATGGAGTCAATGAAGATTAAACTTTTAAAAGTATATAAAGCATACATCAGACATCTAGACAAAAGAAGTTGCTGTGATTCACACCTATAAGCAAATGGCTCTGTCGTGATACTTTGACACTTTCCCAATGCCTGCTCCCAGACAGGAATAATATAACTACACGTAAGTACCACTTACTTCTCTGTCTCCTTGATGTTGTTCAAATAGATCCATTATTCTAAGCCTTTCTATACTTATTGAACTCCTATAGGTCCTTGAAAATCCTACTCAATTGCCACCTTCTATGTAAAATATTTGCTAAACCTAGGTTCCTCAAGTGTCAGCGCCACTTTTTCCTTCGCATTATTATCACTTTGTCTGAAAGGTTCGGAGAACTCCACTTCTTTGGGCTGCAATATAGAATTGTTGTTACAAAGGTAGATGCAATCTGGGAAAGTCATGCATTTTTCTAGATTGATGCATTTCCAATTAATTCTGCAGCATCATGGGATCACAGTGCTGGAAGGTTCCACAGGTCACAGACTGATATGCACACTTCTCAATGAAGATATGAAGACCCAGAAAGCTGATCTCACAGAGCTGCATGAAGAATCAGGATGCTGTGACTATCTGGCTGATATTCTGTGTATCATGCCAGGCTCTTAGAGGAAAAGGGTAAAGCCTAGCAAAGGTAGGCCAATGGCTCCAAAGGTATTAGAGAAACTTCCGCAGAAGGACTGGCAAGGTGGCAGGGGTAGCCAAGAGATCAGGTCAGCCAGGGGAAGCATACTGACATGGGTGTGAGGACAGGGAGAGAATCAGAATCAGGCAAAGGGCTCCAAAAGTGTTTCTGGAAGCAAAGTCCTACAGAGAAACTATCTACTTGCTCCATCCTTTTGTCCAGATTGGCAGTGTCCCAATCTCTAGCCTTTGCCAAACCACAAACAGCCACGTGCAGGAAGCCCATCTTGCTCTACCATTCAGGATGTGAGCTTTTTACATTTCCTAACGGCTACCCAGTTTCCTGTCCTTGGAAGATGTCCTGAAGTCTAAAATAACTAACACCAACTCCTCACTTCTCATTGCCCTCGATTCCTTTATTCTGCTGTGCTTTTTTCAGTTCCAATGTGCTTCTCACTGCTTGAAATTATGTTATTCATTCATTTTCTTATTTATTACATATTCCCACATGAGAGGGAATGGCTGAGAATTAGGATCTTTGTCTTCTCCTACACTGTGCAGTTATCCAGTAAGCACTGATTGAGTGAATGAATAAAAGATATAACAATAACATTTTAGGTTATTTCCCATATTTTAATAGATATCTGTTTTTTGCTCCCTACTTTTTGTGGGCATTCATTCTGTTTTTCTTTTTCTTAAGTTTGATGTTAGTACACTAACTGCGATCCTTTCTGCTTTTGTACTCTAAGCATAAACTTTCTAAGTATAACTGCATTCAACACCATTCAGTTCCAAGTGTTTTAAGTTTTTCATTTAGATGTGTTTTTTTTTGGGGGGGGACCCACAGTTTATTTGGAAGCAATGTGCATATGTATATATTTGTCTAATTTTCAAATGAATGGGGGTTTACCTGTATTTTTAATATACTATTTCTGATTTTATTTGTGAATTCAGACCACTGTAATGGTAGGTTTAATATTTTGAAATCCAGCATTTATGGCTTAGCTTTCAGGTAAGCTCCTAGAGCAGAATGCCATGTTCCATATAAGTGTAGTTGACCAAGCTTGCTAATTGTGCTGCTCAAAATTTCGGTTTCCTTTTTTCTGGATGGCTATTTTTTTCTTTTTCTTTTTCTATTGCATTTTTAGCCTCCAGCTGTTTGCAAATTAAATCCTTTGGTCTACCTTTTAGTTATTACCTTTTCTTTTAAAAATATAAGGACTATATCTATATCTGTAACTAATTTAGCCTCTCCTATCTTACATGCTATTGTTTCACAATATTAAAAATGACCTTCTTTCCTTCCTTTTTTTCTAAATCAATATTTTCATTGTTACTGCATCCAACATACCTCTTATATAACGAGAAAGAAAACCCCTTATTCAGGAAAGAATTAGAATCATAACCAAACAAAGCTGTTTTAATAAATGAAATGTTATGGAATCAGAGCAAGATATGCCTGAGAAAATAGGAACAAAGTGGAAAGAACGTTTGCAAAACACAAAAGATAGCAGTTATAGAAGAGCAGCATCAGTTTACTTCCATCCCTCAACAAGGTAACAACAGCTACTCAACCAAACTCTGTACATGAACATAAAAATAGCACAATGCAAAACAATATCAATACTTTGTTTCTTACAGTGTCCCTCCACCCAGGCCGATATATTGAAGTACTAAGTCCCAGTATCTCAGAAAATGACCTTATTTGAAGACAGGCTTTTTATAAAAGTAATCAATTTAAAATTAGGTCCAGGGTAGATTCTATTGCAGGATGACTACTTGCCTTAAAAGAAGGAAAAGTTCGGACCTAGTCAGAACTTCTGTGAAGGCAGAGCTTGCCAGAAAACCACTAGAAGGTAAGAGAGTGGGCTGGAAAAGTTTCTTTTCCCAGCCTCAAGAAGAAGCCAAGACTGCTATCACCTTGCTTTCAGACTTCCAGACTCCAGAACTATGAGATAGTAAGTTTCTGTCATTTAACCTACTCAATTTGAAATACTCTGTTATGGCAGCTCCAGCACATTAACATAGAGCTACTCTCTAGAATTCTACATAATGTCTGAATTAGGAGAAAGAGCCCACCTCGTGTGCTATGTGGAGGGAGTTCAGATCTCAGGTATTTTTACTGTCTAGAGTAACCTGGAGAGAGCAGGAGGGATCCTATGACCTGAGTTCATTTCCACTCCATCCAACATTCCCAGAATAGGACTGTGTTCTCTGCTATTAATATTGCAGTTTCCCAGAGCAATCCTAGAACAAAATCACTCTCCTTCAAAATGCTCTTTACCTGAAAAAGCAGTGTTCTTACTGACACTGCACTTTAAAAGTGTTCTGAAGAACAGCTAAGAGCATCCTGGCTATTAAAATCCAGAAGTCGGTTAACCAATAAGGATATAAAGACACCAAGGGATGCTGCCGACTTTGGCAAGATCATGCAGCAATTTGTGCCAGAGACTGGAATAGAAACCAAAACCCCAGTGTAGAGTGTGGTGAAAGGCCAGGGTGACCTGCAGAAATCGACCTTGTCAGTCTCTGAGACATGGGCCAGTGGATACCACCTTTAGGCCCAGGAAGCTCCTACTGTAACCCAATATATCAAAAATATTATTTTAATATATAATCAATGTTAAAAGTTATTCATGGGATACTTTTTTGATGAAGTCTTAAAATTTTGGTACTTTATATTTATAACATATTTGATTCAAACTAGTCACATTTCAAGAACTAAATGGCCATATGTGCCTGGTAGCTACCATACTGTATAGTATTTATTTCGAGTAGCCTAAAGGGTTTCAAATGATTGCTTATAATTTCAACCTTGGGACGTTGTAAGATTTTGAGAGGACAGGCATTTTCTGGGTACTTTTTAGGTATACAGTACAGTTACATTCATCATTGGGATCTTGCACCTTTATATGACAGGTCTTGGTTCTCATTTTGCCCCATACTCCTGCCCTCCCTTCACCCCCTCCACCTTCCCCTATTTACAAAGACTTTGTTTCCATTTTCTCCTTTTCTCATATTTTTTCTTTTCCTCTACCCTTCCTACTTCCCATACACTATTAGCCCTTTTCTTCCTATTTCATATTATCGGTTATACAATTTAGATCTTACACATTTAGTTTTTCACACCAGAGAAACTAGATGATAGACATGTTCTTATACATTTCATATTCCTAATTAGGTTCATAAAAGAAAATTTCAGTAAATTCTATTTTCCCCATTAGGTTCTTCTTGAACTCAATTCCCGACTGTACACAGTTGTTGTAAAAAGACTATCCCACCCTCCTTTTCCCGCATTTGCTTCAAGGGCATCTATTTTCTTTCTTCCTCTTTAAAAGGCAGTTCTTCAGTGAACCAGAGCTGAGACAAGACGGCCTCTCCAAAACCCACAGAAGACTTGTCCATCCCCCTGCTAGCTTACCTAACATGGTCCTCTACCTCAGAATATTGCTGTCTCCCCTACAAATGACCTATTTTATAAAGAGGGAATGTTTCTTATCTCTACTAGCACAAAAAATACCTGAGACAATCAATTTTTAAGAGGAAAGGTTTATTTTGGCTCATGGTTTCAGAGGTTTCAGTATGTGGTTGGTTGGCCCTACACCTTTTGAGACTCTGGTGAGGCAGAATATCATTGTGAAAGTGTACGGTAAAGGAAGCTGCTCACCTCATGGCAACTGGAAACAAAGAGAAAGGAGATAGGGGTAGGATCTCAATATGCCCTCCAAGGCCACATCCCCAGTGACCTGATATTATTCTACTAGGCCTCATCCACTGAAAGTCTCACCACCTTCTAATAAATAGTACCATATGCTGGAGACCAACTCTTCATACCTGAGATTTCTGGGGGACACATGTCCAAGTCATAGTACCTATATTCCCAATACTTAAGCACAGGGATACATATGACATCACAGTTCAGTTTCCCCATACAGAATAACCTGGGAAAGAAAGAAAATGAGAGAGAAAAGCCAGAGAAATCAAGACAAGAATGACAGCATCTTTTATAACCTATAATCTTGGAATAATGCATCTTCATGCTTGCCACGTTACTGATCACACAGACTACTTCTGGCTCCATGAAGGAGGGCTCTGAACAAACTAAGAGCACCAGGAGGTGGAGATCAATAGAAGTCCAATAGAGTAAGGAATGAAACATACAACTTCTAGACAATGCAAGTCATGCATTTCATCTTCTATGGTACTTAAGCCATTCACAGTGCCCTTCCATTCTCTGTACACACATTATCCTATCACACTGATACTGCAGCTCATATCTGTACCATCAAATCATTTCTTCCTAGCTTCACTCAAGCTTCACATGAGGCCAGGTCCAAAATCTAGAAGTTCATCAACTTACACTAACTATGCAGAAGTGGGCATTGGTATGGATAAAGTCACTTTTTGGTAAGCTAACCCTAGCAAAATGAGTAAAAAATAAACATCACTGGAGAGCATCTTTGAAAAGAGGGAAAGACCTAATAATGAGACAGCAGAAGACCCTAAAATGCCAACAGAAATAAAGCTGCACTTAGAAAAAATTACTAATAATCTTAAAATATGGGTTCATTGCAACAGGTGATTCATATTCTCCAATCACTCTCTTTATGATACGTGGCGCCATCTATGCACCAAAGCTATGAAAATGTCAAAACTGTTTCACCACATGGAGACCAAGCACCTAGCATTAAAAGTCAAGCCTTTGGAATATGAACATGAAACAGAAGCAACTATTGAAGGCCACCACTTCATCAAAAGTGTCTGCATTGAGAGCATCATTCTTAGTGGCTAACCACATTGCCAAAGCTAAGAAGTCCTCTGCCATTGGTTAAGAGTTAACTCTGCCTGCTGCTAAGTATATTTGTCAAGCACTTTTAGGAGAAGCTCCGTTTCAAAGGTGGCACAAGTTCCTGTTTTGGCTAGCACCATAACTAGATGAACTGATGAAATAGCAGAGGATTTTAAGGTACAGCTGTTAGAAAGGATTAATGAGTCACTGTGCTACAAAATTCAGGTTGATGAGTCTACAAATTCTGAGAACAAGGCAACCAATAATGTTTGTTTTGTGTGATGCATTTTTTCAGGAGGGTGTGCACTATATTATGTGCACTTTTGTTAGCAACTAAAACGACAGTTGCAAAACTATCCAGTCTTCAAATGATTACATACAAGGAAAATGGAATTGATCATTTTATGTCAGTGTATGCACCAATAGATGCTGCCATGACTCCATGGCTTTCTGGTTTCACTGCTGCCATGGGGTCGCATGGCTGAAGGGTTCAAGGAAGTTGCTTCCTGAGTGTGAGTCTACACACTGTGTCACACATAGAGAAACACTGGCTAGCCAAAAGAATGTCACCTGGACTTATCATTCTGCCGAATGCAAAAAAATTATCCACCCATTCAAGTACATACCCTTAACTCATGTCTGTTCACAAAATTCTGTGGGGAAATGGACACAGAGCTCAAGCACCTTCCCTTATACACAGAAGTGAAGTAGTAAATCACTGCCAGAGTTTTTGAATTACAAGAGCTGCTCCAGAGATTTCTTTAGAGAAATGTTCACCCAAGCAGCACATTTCAGTATTTTCAGGACAACTGTAAGTCTCTGTACATTCTGGATTAAAGTCAAGGTAGAATGTCCTGATATTGCCACAAAAGCACTGAATAACCTGCTTTTACTTTCAACATCCTATCTTTGTGAAGCAGGGTTTTCTGCAGTAGCAGCCACCAAAATGGAATTATAAACTAGACTGTACATAAGTAACATACGTGTCACTGTCTCCCATAACCCTCATATGGGACTGTATAGTTTCAAGAAAACAAGATTAGAGTTTCCAATGATTCTGCATTATGGTGAGTTGTACAATTATTTCACTATATGTTGCAATGAAATAATAGTAGAAACAAAATCCACAATGAATATAATTCTTGATCACACACACACACACACACACACACACACACACACACACACAGTCTGTGCAATTTGGTACCAGTCCCTGGCCTAGATGTTTGCAGGTTTATAGCAATAAATCCATTCATCACAATGAACTGTGATGCATTTGTCCATATCAAGGGATGAACAAAGGAGGCTGGTTAGAAAGAGAAAGCAGAGACCCTCTTGAGAGAACTTCCTGTAAAAGGTGCGAGAGCATAGGAGGGTGTATGCTGAAGTAGAGGTGTACATGTGAGTTGACAAAACCAAATTATACAGAGTCCTGGAAGTTTTACTATGTACCTCCTGCTGAGAGAATGTGTCTTGGGTAGAAAGTGCTCTCCATCTTTCCATGAATATGTTGCCTGGGTGGATTAACAAAGATCTGCTGGGGTGAGTGAAGGTTACTGCTTGACAGCAACACATTCCTACAAGTCCATTAGTGCTTTGAAGCTCAGTTATGCCAGCATACAAAGAAAGTCATAAAAGAAAAAACCTGAGACCACCCATTGGTGGTCACAGCTTACAGCTCACCTCTCAGGGATGACTGATGTCAGGGCAAGGACAGATGCCCCCGCTTTCTGTGTTTCTGGGAGAAGATTAGCCTGTTTCTATGGACAATGGTATCTCCAACAACTCCAGTATTGAGAAGAACATTCTCACTACAAAGTGATACCCTGTGAAAATTTCTGCCTCAAAGTTATTGTGTGGCCCAGGCTTAGCTAGCAATGAAGTCCTAAGTGACCAGGAGTGATTTGTAGACTCAAGGAAACATCCTTAGGGAGTTTCAGAAAAACAAAATGTGGGGACAGAATTCTGGAAGCAATTCACTATTTTGCAGCCAGCCAAGATATTTTCTTAACTTTTGTCTCGTTTGTGTGAGCAGGCAAGTGAAACACGGTTATTTCTATTAAACATCCTTGACTATCCTGCTAAAGTCACTAGAGGAAGTTTGAGGATGGTGCCATGAAAACAGAGCAACAATGTCAGACCATCTCACCAGATATTACACAACTCAGTAAGATAAATCATATAGAGGCAATCATTGCAATAGCTTCCATTTTAGAGTATCACAGAAACGTCTTCAAGAGAAATGATCCCATGCCTTTGGCAGAAGAGTTGGACTAAGTATGGAAGCCAAATAATCATCTGCCAACACAGAGGTGTCAACGCACCTATCTTCTCTCCTCCCTGCGGAAACTTCCCTAAAACATAGGTGAGAAACAAAATGTGGCACAAACGCAGAGATAGAAAGAGACTTGGAGAAGACATGAAAGCATGCAATTGATGTCAACAAGAACTGAGAACTGCAATGAGATGGATTGAAGGTGACAAATAGATCAGGGAAAGCTGAAACTTTAAACTGCAGTAGAGGAAGCCACAAAAACAAGCTGTGTTACCCTGAAGAAACAAGGCATTCAAGATACAGATCCTCTCAAAAGGCAAGAAAAATGGAAATGATTGAAAGAATTTAAATGTAGCATTTAGATTCCCCAGATTCTGTCCTTACCTAATGCCATCAATGATTGTTCTTCCCCCATTACCTGAGAACACAGGAAGTCAAAGAGAGACTTTGGACTCTAAACACCACAGGGCAGAATGAGAGTCTGACTGCAAAATGGAAATGGAAGTGAACGGCTGCATCCTGGACATGAGGCCTCAATTTTCCCCCACACTGACTGATAGAAGATTGGCAGCCAAGGCAGAGGATTTGAGATGAGCTGTCCAACATGGTAGCTACTAACCACAGTGCTATTTAAATAAAATAATACATTTAAATAAAATTAAGAATTCACACTATCATTCTCTCTAGCCACAGTTCAAATGTTTAATAGCCATATGCGACTAAGAGCCATGGTACTGGTCAGTGCTGATGTTGAGCTTTTCCATCACCATACAGGGTCCAATTATTTGGGGGGGTGCCACAGATCAAACTTGGGACCCTGCACTTGTAAGGCAGGCAGCAACATCAGTGAGTTAAATCCCTGGCCCCAGGGTTTAATTATTAATTAAATGAAATAATAATTAAGGCCTAATAATTATTTTCCCATTGAGATTCAGTTCCAATGAATAGAAAGTAGTGGAAACAATAATGCATGGAGCAGAAATCACAATTCCCATTCGCCCTTGCACACTCACGGAGACCCACAGCAACATAAAGAACAGTCTGGAATTGAAGCCAGAGGTAGGGTCTTCATATTGGAAAGGAGACTGGCCAAGAAGAGGACCAGGATATCTTGGACTAAGCTTGAGAGTCCCTCCTAGATGCTGGAGAAGATGCAGATCCCAATCAGGCAGAGCAGGCCTAGCTTAAAAGGAGGAGAGCACTGGATCATCACGGGGAAGCCACTGTCATGTCATGAGGACACCCAGGAAACCCCTAGGATGATCCAAGGAGGTCAGAACAGAAGCTTTTGGCCAAAACCCAACACTCAGACCACTCATGCATGAACTCAGAGTCAGCTTCACTCAGCTGTGGTCAAATCCTCAAATTACTACAATTCCATGAGACCCTGAGCCAGAACCGTCAGCTAAAACAACTGTGACATAGTAAATATTTATCTCATGGCTCTAACTTCTGCAGTAATCAGTTACACCGCAAAAGGCCCAATACATAATTATCTCAGAAGGATAAGAGGAGGGCACGTGCGCTTGTGTGCACACGGACTTATGTGGAGTAGAAAGTGAGAAGCTAGCCCATTTCAGTGGCACACATCTGTAATCCCAGCACTACTCTGGAGGCTGAGGATTGCAAGTCTGAGCCACAGCGGACATCTTAAGTGACTGAGATAGAATGTGACTCAAATAATTGTTAAAAGGTTCTGTGGATATAGTTCAGTGTGATGCTCCCTGGCTGTGCAGAGAGAGAGAGACAGAGAGAGAGAGAGAGAGAGAGAGAGAGAGAGAAGAAAGGGGAGAAGGGGGAGGAGGAGAAAGAGGAGGAGGGGGAGGGAAGGGGAGAAGGAGGAAGAAGAGCAAAAGCAGGAGGTGTAGGAAGGGAGGGAGGAATAGAAGAAGAGAGAGAATTAGGCAGGGAGATGGAGGAGGAAAAGAAAAAAGAAAATGAGGAGCTAAGTAATTAACTTCCATAGAAGAGAGTCAATATGTAATACAGAAAACTGAAAATCAGAAAATAGAGAAATAAATAATAGAAGAAATATCTGAAAGTGTTGAGAATGTTTGCCTTCAGGAATCAGGCAATGACAGTGCAGGGCTGGGTTGTCTCTTATTAATAACACCAAGACTTGGCCAGGAATTCTGCTCAGTGGTTCTGCTGCCTGCCTCACAAACACAAGGACCTGAGTTAGATCCCTGGTACAAAAAATAATAATAATAAAAATAACACCAAGACTTTTAAACGCTACATATAACACTTTTTACATAATAAATTTATAACAGAGCACCTTCCATGGGCCAATTTCAGAGACCACATTGCTCAGAGACAAACAAGTTCCCAACTTTGATTTAGCAAGAAGATCAGTAAAAAGCAGTGTTCTGAGATGAAGGACAATGGCTCCTGGATGGATCTACAGTGGGAGGAGAGTCTGACAGCTGATCAGAACCAGCGAATCCAACCAAAACGCATAGTGACATAGTGAGGTCCAAGAGACCTGCAGCAACATGAAGACCAGTCTGGAGTTGAAGTCAGAGGTAGAGTCTTCATATTGGAAAGGAGACTGGCCAAAAAGAGGACCAGGATATCCTGGACTAAGCTTGAGAATCCCTCCTAGATGCTGGAGAAGATGGAGATCCCAATCAGGCAGAGCAGGCCTAGCTTAAAAAGGAGAAGAGCACTGGAGAAACACTGTTTTTACATATACTTCTTGGAATCTAGTATAATTAATGACAGATCTACACAGTGGCTCTTGTAGTACTGACTTAGATTACATCATCTGTACAAGAGATGATATCAATAAGTACTCATCAGATTACAAGAAAGTCACATTCAAATTACTGTGAAAAAACATAGTTAAAATTACTATTTTATTCACTATAATCTTGGCCTATTATTTTAACATGGGCATGTATTTAACTTATTCAAATTACAGTCAAAATGCTGGTTGCTAAATGCCCAGAAGATCTGTCTTTTGAATTGAGGCCAGCTTCCCATAAAATGAATCACCAACACCGTAAGATTTTAGAGTTGTACATGTGTGATCCTCCACGATCGCCAAAATGCTGAATGATGATTATCCTCATCTGCTCTAAATCTTGTATCTCTCCAGAGTAGCTTCTCCCATGAGAAGCTCATGGTGGTCTGCTAGGAGCCCCATATTGTGAAGTAACTGTGTAGTTGGAAAAACAGAAACAATACAGAGGTTTTTGAGGACTTATCGCTTCTGATGGGTGGCCTCATCCTTCACAACCGCCTGAGGAAGTGCAGACAAGAGAACAGCAAAAGGCCACCCAGACTGAAGGAAAAGCAAATTGTGGGGTTCGTATTACTTATTTGCTTCATATAGCTCTTGGATTTCACTTGAATGCTTTCAGTTTCTGGTCACATTTTAATCATTTTCCCCCTCTTGTGTCATTACATCCTGCCTTTCCCAAGTATGAAGGTTGGTCTCTAAGCCTTTCTTTCAAGTTGGGCTGTCCTTTCCCTAAATTTTTTGAACCTCCTTTTCTTCCCTGCCTCTTCCCAACAGTCTCTTCTTTTCTAGCATCAAATCATCAAAGAACATCAAAGTATTTAAGCACAGTAGGAAAATTTAGATGTCCTCTTCCTGCACTCTCACATTATTTCCAGGTGTTCTCTGACTTCAGGAATTCTTTATTTCATTATTCTACTCAGCATATCCTGACAAGCCATTTCCTAGCACTCACCCAAGCAGACTGGCATAATCCACTCCCTTATTCTTGTATTTGCTAACATCTACTAGATGTTTAAATAAGAATTATATCTCCCTAAAGACCCTTGGATTCATGAGAAAGATGAAAGTATAAATTTACTACTAGGTTCCTTTCAGAGCTAAATTCTCAAGGAAAGCCATAAATGTGTTCTACATTGCTTATGCAGATAAAAACCACACATAAACCCACCAGCAAGTGGAGGACAGAAGAGCAAAGAATAGATTCTGGCTTTAGGGACTCATGTGAGTGCAGACAAAGACAAGAGGACAGCCAATGACTCTGTGTAACTCACTCCACAAGTCTTCAGAGAAGTCCAAGTTTAATCCCTTCTGAAAACCATGATGTGGGCTGCAGATACAGGCTGGAAAAATACATAAAGGAAACTGTCCCCATGACCTTGCTAAAGAAGCAATCAGAAGACAGTGGGAGATCTACTGAGCTCTACTTTAAGAAGAAGGCAAAACCTTTGTAGCTCCTATTCACCATCCCAGGAGTCTGACATGTCATAGAAGAGATTAAGACAATATGAACTCTGTAAGATTATGAGCTATTTACTGTTTCTCATACTTATTATTTTTGTGACACTGTGTTTTTCCTTTGTGACCATCAGTAAAAGCCATAAAGACATAATGGTCTTTTGTGTTTGTCACTGGGGTATTTTAAGGAAATAAACTCCAAAGATGATGGTAGCTTTTGAAGGAGGGGGAAGTGGATTGATTTTTCTAGAGCCTGCTGCAGAAGAAAGGGAAAGAAAGACTAAGGGGAGTGGAGAAGGATTTTAGGAGAAGTCTCAGAGCTACAATAGAAAATGGATCAAAGGTTCCACCAAAATGGGCCTCAGGACATGAGACTCTATGGTAAGTCTCATACAATAGCACAAGCAATATCACTTTATCCCTGGTTCTTGTTGCTCCTCTGGTGAGAGCTGCTTCTGGCTGGTGGACCATCTGCAGCCAGATTCTACCAAGGCCCACAGTCACCCGCTCCTCCCAGTTGTTGACTGTATTCCTCCAGTAATACTGTAAAACCACAAAAATGCACCTTATTATACTTAAACTGGCTAATGGTCTACCCAGAATTAGAACAAATTCTCCATGTTCTTCATCAGAATCCACTGACACATTGAGCAATCACATGGCACAGTGGTTAGGAAATCTGATGTTTGAGGCCAGCCTGCCATATTCAAATACCAGCTCTGCCACAGACTGGCTCTATGGTGTTGTATAAATTAGTTAATTTATCCATGACTCAATCTTCTCCTCAAATGATGGGGATAAGATGAGTACCTTAATCTCAGGGTTATTTTTTCCAGGAACAAGTAGATCTTATCTGACCTGGAGGAACCAGTAGAACCCAGATAAGTGAAGAGCAAAACAGTGTGTTCCAGCCAAAAGACCATCCTGGGATACAGTTAAGGTTGGGATAGCTCAACAGACTCCTCTGGCATCTCTGTGGCTTTTGTCATCCTCAAAAGCACTGCCTGCAGAAGTTGTGTGTATGCCTCTCACACAGGCTTGGAGATTTCTTCTTGGTAGGACCTAATGTGTCTTACCACAAAAAACTCTAACACAAAATAATGAGCAAGTTTGTCCTTTGAGTCCCATCTTTCAAAAAGGGCTCACTGAGCATCCCTGGGAGATGACACAAGCAGGGCAGTTAAAAGTGACAATTCTGGTTCAAATCCTGTTCTGCCACAGATTCACCTCTACTACACCAAGTCTCAGCTTCCGCAGAGACCTTCCTGATTCTGCCACACAACCATGCAAACTCAAAGCTCAAACACACCTGGTTATTTGCAATTTTTCAGACAAACCAGGACACTTTGCCTTTGCAAATGCTGAAGTGGGGCTGGAAGTTGAATCCAAATCTGCACTCTTTCTGCCCTTGGTACAGTTGTGAGGGCATCACAAATGGTCAATACATATATAATGACTCATCCACCAACTTCTTAGGAACTCGCATCTTATGCACACCCAGAACTCAAATTTGCACCAGAAAATTGCAGGTCAATTTTCCAAATTTCCAGGAATGCTCTCAATATCCCAAGGATGCTGACAACTGTGTACAGAAGCTCTTGATTTCTCTGTCTCTCTCTCTCTGTCTCTCTCTCTCTCTCTCTCACACACACACACACACACACACACACACACACACACACACACACACACTGACCCAGTTTTTACATGCAAATGTCCCTCTGCACATGAGTTTCTTTGGTAAATGCCAACCTCATAGGTACAATCCAGGTGCCCAGATTTGATAAGTTGGCATAGATGGGCATTCTGAGTCCATTATGGACTGGAATCATTATTGTAATTACTCCTAATGGATATGTCTGTGGTTCAATAACAATGGTGGATGATTCAGTCTCACTCCCTCATCTCTCTACCCTCCTTTCCCCACTCACCCTTTTTATATATATATATAAAAAAAAAAGCCAACCACATCTTGCTTAGCCACTCTCTCCAGCTCCCCCACCCTGCTTTTTAAGATGAAAAGCCCAGATGTGGTGACCCATCTGTAGTGTGTGTCACGTCTTTAGCATCTTCTTTATTTTAGAGCTGGGAAAAAGGGACTCATTAGAGAGAGGAAGTCCACAATGAAATTAGGAAACATTTGATCAGACCATTGTTCCAACACAATGTGAGCAATGAGGAAAACACTGGAGTTGGCTGTAAACCTTAAGTGTGTGTTTCAGCCCCAGTGGCTTGCTCATCACTGGCTTCCCCAGTGCTGACCAGAAAGGGGACCCAACAGCCCCCTGGGTAGAAACTGAGTACTGGAAGTAGGAACATTGTTGGGGCAATTTCTCTCTTCCTGCAGCTTTCCTCTGTAGTGGCAGCCTGGACTTGTGAAGTCTATAGCCTTTGCCCTCCTTCTTGTTGCCTCAGCAGAAGAACCTGTGAGGAGTAACCACACCAAAGCCTCCATTCCTGGGTTACAGGCCTTTTCCTCAGCTTCCTGCCATTTGAAGGGCAGAGGTTTGCTGCAGGAACTTATGCCAAGGGCTCAAAACACAAAAACCATTCTTAGGCTCCAGTTTTATTTCTGGTAGCTCCACTCTTTAATTAAGTAAAGCAGAAGGTCAGAAATATAAAGGCTCCAAAACAGAAGCATAATGACACATTTCAGCCTCTGGAATACCACTTGGCTATAAAGATGTCCAGTTGTAACTCCAAACACTTAATCTGAATTGCATCAAAATCAGGTGCATACTACACAAGCAGAAATCAAGCACAAAACAGTGAAGTCCAGACCCCTGCTAACACAGAAAAAAAGACTAGATTTCACAGAATAAAATGGGACTCTAGCCTGGCTTGGTCACTAGCTTTTGGCCATTATGATACTTGATCTCACTTATGAGAGAATTCAGAGTAGTTGTCCTACCACTCAGAAGGTTGTTGTGAAAGTACAATGTGAAGGCAGTTATGAAAGCAATCTGGACAATTAAAGTATCATATAAAAAATAAGTGTTAGCTTTATTACTACCAAGCCCCACAGCAAATTATCTGCTATTTGTGGCACTGGTGCTAGATCCATTGCTTCATCACTGACATAAATGGCATAAGAGGTTTGCCATTCTCAAAGGACTTGGAAAATCCCTTTCTTGTTTTACAGAGTAAAACATTTAGAATAAAGCACATAAACTTAAATAGAAGCTGTTGACTAAATAACTTGATCCATGCCAGCAGAAACAGATACGAGCCCAGCTTCTGGCACATACTAGGCACTCTATCTGCACTAGCTGAATGAATGAATTAGTTAATAAAAAAAATTACCTAAAAAAAATGAAGCCAAACCTAATTGACAAATGCTTAGAATCGGTGAAGAACTTTTGTGTACATATGTCTGGGTTTTTGTGTTTGTTTCTTTTACCTAACATGTAAGTTGGATAGGAATTCCTTTATCCAGAAGGCAGTTACCCAGCAACTTTCTCTATATGAAGCTTTGGTGAACAAGCAAAGAAAGACAATAAAAATCTTGATCCTATCTTATCTCATCTAATTCGCAATTCCAACAGGTTTATCTCCCCACCGACTACCAAATAAGAGACATTAAAAAGCGTAAAGAAATTAATAAAAGTGGCAACAATATGGCAACCAATGAAGTGGAGGGAAAATTGAAAATAGGCATACAAGAATTATAAATCTGGAGTAAATACCCTCATACATCATAAACCTTGGGAACATCATCATATTTGATTTCTTTGAAAGTGTTGTAGTATACAAATCTGTTTCTTTCATTATTGCATTCGTCATGACACTATTGAAAATAACCTTTTCTCAATAACTCACCATAATTTGTTAAAACAGCAAAAAATATGTGTAATATATTTAGTGGGACCATGTGTTCAACACAAAGGATGCGTGACAGGTAATTACACAAGCTTCTTCATTTTTATTTTCCATTATTCTTTTAAACCTGTTTTGCAGGTGTGCTCATCAGTTGACCATTACTGTATAAATTAGCTAGAGAAGAGAAAAGGTTTGTTTTGGCTCACAGTTTCAGAGGTTTCCATCCATAATCAGCACATTATGGTGGGATCCAGGGGCAAAGCAAAATACTTACCTTGTGGCTAGGATACAAAAAGAGAGAAAAGAAGAGTACACCACAGTGACCCAACACATGTCAGTAGGCTCCACCTCTTAAAGTTTCTATGGAGGCCCATTGTGGCCCTCTGGGGAATAAGACTTTTAACATATGAGCCTTTGGAGAACACTGTAGATGCAAACCAGGAAAGTGAGAGTAATGATGTCTTTGGGTGAAAATTTAGGACCTCTCCATGAGTTTTTCTCCTGCTATTAGGCAAGACCCATACAGTCATGAGTCACACATCAGTTCCCTGTCCCTCTACCTGCAGAGGACACTGATCAACTCTGAGTGGTCTTACTAAAGCCCCTCTATGCTTTCACACTGCTCAAGTGACTCACTCTAAAATTCTCTTTCTAAGATCTTTCCTGACTTAACCTCAGCTAGAGGGAGGTGATCTTGGAAGAGGGGCATGAAAGTTTGTGCAATAAATTTCTAGATACATTCTGGAAAAAACATGCATCTTCATATATCTTGTTGCATCAGTCCAAATCTCCAATTTAACACCAGACAACATTGGAGACTTTCCACCCAGAATAATATAAACTGGAGATCAGAGTTAGATTTTTAATGGGATAACCACTCAGCATATACAGTTACTCATTCACTAGGGGGTTTGGGATATCCTTTATAAAAACTATATTTGGAAACATCTGGATTTCTGATGAGATGTTTCCAATTTAAATCCAGATGTTTGAGATTCTGAACATACCCAAAAGTTGGAAAAATAAATTATAGTACAGTGGAAGAGCCTTGTTTTTGCTATCACTATTTAGATGTAATTTTGCTGCACATCAAATTTTATATTACAATCCTGGATCTATGTCTATATGTAGACACTGAACTTCTCCATACCTGGAGGAAGCTATTTATGCCAATAAACTCATTTTCTCCATAACTAATAAAAAGATTTATTTACTGTATTTTCAAAATCCAATAATGCAAGTAGCTTCTGCTATTGTGAAAAAAATCATATTGTGTTTGAAATAAACAATAGAACATACAATTTATACCAAAGGTTTGTTTCAGGGTTTTTTGGGATTTTTTGTTTTGTTTTGTTTTTTGTTTTTACAACATATCCAAAACTTCTTTGGTATGCCTCTTTCAAAAAGTGAAGTCTAATTCTCCCTTCCCTAAGAGTAAGCTGTACTTAATCATGCGCTTCTAGCCAACAGATACAGAAGTGATGGTGTTTGACCTCGAAGATTAGATAGAAATACCACTGAGGCTTCTTCCTTGACACCCTAAATTGTTCCATTTAGGAAAAACCAGTTGCTGTGTTGGGAGGATATTCAAGCAGACAGACCTAAGGAGAGGCCAACGTGATAAGGTTCTGAGGTCTCCTCCCTAGTCAGAGAGGCAGAGAGCATCTTGAGGAGTGGACCCTCCAGCCCTAGTCGAACATGTAAATGGTGGAAGCCACCAGTGATTGCAAGATGGCAACCTCATAAGAGACTCCACACAGGATACCCAGCTAAGTTTCTTCCATATACCTGGATGACGGCATGGAAGCTGTGAGCTAACAAATGCATGTTGTTTTAACACACTAAGTTTTGGGGCCATTTATTATGCAATGATAAATAATGAACGTGGAATTGATATGATATTCTATTCTTTTATGAAGACCAATACTACTATGAAATCAGTGACTTTTGAACATGCGCAAATCTAACTTTTTGAATGGAAAAAGTAGCAGCTCTAGATTTTTTACCCCTGGAGTTCTATATAAATAAATCTTGAATCCTTCCAAGTTAGCTCATTGATGCTGTCATGTATACCCCACGAACACAAATGCTAAGTTAAATTATTTTTAAGCAAGAGGTGTAAGCACAGATTTTTATTACACTATGCTGTGCTATGTACATGACTGTCACTAATAAACTTAACAGTGCATCCAAAGTTACTTCTGGATGCTTCTTCCATTAGCTCTTTTTTATAAGGGTATCAAATTACTTTTTATTTGTTTAGGAATTTATGGCTAAAAAGGAAAGCAGATGCACATTTTTTATGAAGATAAAACTTACCTTTTGTGAGAATGAGATAAAAGAAATTGCACATAGGACCCTAAATAATGCTTGTGCAGCAATGATCATGACGACTCCATACATCTGCAGGGAGTTTACAATTACGAATACTTACCTCATTTACTCCTCCCAACAGGCTAGTAGAGCAGGCATTATTTTCCCCATTTTGAATATTCGATGATGCCAAAGCTGCTAATGTGAGAGTCATCCAGGACTTACCTCCTCTTGCAGACTTCTGAAGATACTCCTCCAGGTACAAACTTCAATTCCCCTTTTCTTCTCCTCTAAAGATGAGAACTGTTTCTGGAAAGAGACGCAAATTGAAGGGCTGAGCACAGACAAACTGGAGACAAAGAAAGTCTCACCCCTCTACAGACAGAAGCATGTTCAGTACAGAGGGACATGGGGGTTACCAAGTGCAAGGGGAGAGGGGTTTTAATGGGCTGTATGGGTGATGTATGGCTGCTCATTTACCTTCTGTTGAGAGAGGTGAGAAATTAATAGAATCTGTTTTAATTATTTTGCATGCTTGAGCTGTGCTTTTTCAACACATCACTTTAAAACTCCAGGTTTGGAGATGGTGCATTTAAGAATGTTCAGGTTCAGATAGTGAAAATGACCTTCCCAGGAATTCAGATCTTCCAATTAAATCACGAGTTTTCCCCACTTTGTCACTCATCCCCCTCATTCATGCACATAGCTAATGACAATGGTCACACAGTGGACTCCAGGTACCACCGTAGGACTTAAGAAACAACTTGGCTTGAAGATGCAAAAGCTATCATTTTGAATCATAGCAAAAGAGTTAGAGACCTGAATTTAGTCTCCTTTGGGTCAGATTGTTCCTATGTTTGGAATAAACAGCCTGAGTGGACTCTTTAATTACCCATATGTGAAGTAAAGACCCACCCATTGTTCTGAGCAAAAGCTGTGAAATGACAGTGCAATGCGATGTTTTAGAGTCAGAACAAAAGCCTTTTGTAATTGTAAATTTTTACCTATGGCTGAGCCAAAGTTTTTGTTGATTCTTTTCCCCTCTGTTGTTGTTTGTTTTGTTTTCTTCAAGATTGAGTGGCAGAAATAGACCTTTTCTCTACATACATGGAGGGAGCCTGTGCCAGAAAACTTTTTTTTTCCTCTTGAGAAGAGAAGGACACTCAGGCATGATCCTACCATTAAGATAAAAGGAGAGCTGTGCCCAGGCTCTTTGTATCTCAGGCTAAACCAGGCAGTGGGTGTCCTGCACGCTATGTTATTTGAGACTGAACTAAAGACACTTTGGGAAGTCCACTAAAGTCGGGATGCTGTGTTCTGATGTGCTAACCATGTTGGGGCTGTTGCTACCACCTTACATTATGAAATTAACCTTGGGCTGGGCTAAAGAGGAAAGCAAGGGCCAGTCCTCTCACTGCAGCACCCCACATTACTCTCAACAATTCCCTCTCCTCTCCTCTCTTAGGTTCTAAGCTACCACCCTTTTTGGATTTCCTTCTACTTCACTAGATGCTCATGCCACATGCCCGCAGAGTGGTAGCAGCACTGTCCCAAGGAGAGTGGGTGGTCCTGGGCCCTTGGGAAAGAACAGCAAGGGCGTGGGGCAGATTCTGATGAAAGGGACACATGGCCAGCAGTACAGGCTCAACCACAATTGAGCACCATGAACATGAGACATCCCAAGGTGCTCTGAAAGCCCTGGAGAGGCCTGGGGACACCAGGAGTGGATAAAGGCTGCTAACAACGGCATGGGATACCTTCCCATGGTAATCCACTGTATTAATGAAAATGTGACCCCTTCATTGGTGAAAAGCACTTAGGACATGCATACTAGTGTTTGCACCGGCAAGTGAGCTAGAGCTTCTGCCCTCAGGGGCCATTCAGCCTAATAAGAGAGACAGATTATTGTTATCTAAACAAATCACCATCCCATTTGATCAGTTCTCTCACAAGAGTAAATGCCAAGAAGAAAGATGGCACAAAGCTTATCAGAAACTAATCCTCACTCGGAGGTGGCACCACGCAGACAATAATGATCCAATAGGTGGATTATTCTTCTGTGGCTGGAGTTATGGTCCCTTAGGGCTTTTTCCAAGAAATTTCCCAAATGATCAAATTTTAGATTTCAGTATTTTCAGAACAAATAAGACCAGTCTTTTGTGTAGAGAAATGAAGGAGCCCATCCCCAGCACATGGTGCCCTTGATTTAAAAGTTTCACCAAAAATGAGTTTGCAATTTACAGAAGAAAATAGAACCTCATGTAAATTATATTTTCTTTGTACCCATTTTCTAGTGCCCTGCCAATATTGTCAGTGTTGTCATCTTTTTGCGGGGGGGGAGGGGTGCATTACAATGAAAGTAAAAAAGGGAACCATAAGGAAAAATGTCTTTATCATTGTCTATCAATGCCATCTTTTGGAGGTAGAAGAAAAGAAGTCACAAATCAACAGAACTGTTCCAAAGGCAGCAGGCATCAGCAGACTTTCCTTACCTTCTTTCTTCCTTTCTATGTTCCAAATGACTTACTTCATGCCTATGCTTATTTTTCTCCTTCTGGAAAATTTAGAAAACTTCTGAATATCTATGACTCTTCTCACTCTAGATAGCAAAAGAGTCTCAAAGGGATAAGGCATGGTACAGTATTTTCCAAACACCATCGGAAGGCAGCTTCTAGACTTGCCTTCAGGACCCCTGTGCCCCATTCCAAAGCTCTCCCAACAGGATAACCCTTAAATATGCAGGTGAGTTCATCATCTCAGGATGGCAACCATTTGCTAATGATAAGGAGCACAATTAGATTACTTTTCTTGAGGCAGGAATCAATAGCCTGGTGTATGTGGAGCCGATTAGACATTGCTAATTAGAGCTTTCAGACATTAATCAAATACCACGTATGGGGCTAATCAACCAAAAGCAATGTGGAAAGCAGAAAAATCTATAGTGTCCCAAGTCACTCCTTGAATTTTCCAACCTGGTTCACCTTGAAAGCCAACATAAAGGCAGCAATCCCTGCAGCAGGTCTGCATTAAGTGGGCTGGGGGACTGTTGTTTCAAGTGCGCTCCAGCCTCCTGGAATGTGAGACCAATGTGACATCATCGAGCTCTGTCTTAAACAAACACAGGCTCTGTCCTGCAGCCTTGACATGCTTTTCACTGACACACAGTGCTGTTTGTGGGCCAGTCCCAGAGAGGCAAACCAGTGTTCCTAGGCCTAGGTAATAAATAAAACTAAATGCTCACTAACTAATATATTATTCATGGAATCACCCATCATACTACATACTTGCATACAATGATCCCTGTGTGTTTAAATAATGAATGTCAGGTTTGTATTGACTAACACAGATTGCTGATTAATCCACAGCCAAATCAAACAGTGCTTTATTGAAAGATTTCAAAATACTATACCACATCGGTGCATCTACCTCAGTTTAGGGATAATTTTTTTAACGTGAATTCTGAGGCATGGAATACTACTGCATAACATGGGCTTGAATAAAGATTTGCCAATATTACTGGGAAAATCCAGATGTCATTTAAGAATGGTGGAATATATTAAAAATATTCCCAAGCACCTATGTCCTTAATTGTCGATCCCTTAATGCTTCTGAATGTTGCCCAGTAAAAAGCTATTTATTGCCCAACAAGCTTTTTCAATCTCCCATAATCTCCTTTAAAAAGGTATTTTGTTGAAAACCAGCAACATGTGTGCATATACTATCATAATTTTTTTCTTCAGAAATAAAAAGTCATCTTTAAATGAATTCAAATCCCCAAAGATTCATGAGAGTTAAGATTCACAGCCTGTAGGGATTAATCAGTTTTTAGTCTCTTAAAAACCATGTTCCTCCTCTTAGTGCTATCAGCTTTAGACAAGCAGGGAGAGAGAAAAGGAATTTCTAGGATTTAGAAAGTACACTTATCAAATACACAGACTAGTACTGGAGAAAAAAATAGTACCATATAGGAAAAATAAGCACAGAACCCAATCTGGATTTGAATCTGACCTCTCCAATATATTAATGGTGTGGCCTGGCCAAATAGTGTCTCTGAGCCTCTGAGGTAAGAATGGTAACATCCAAGGTCATCATGCAGCTTGCGCTCCTACGGTGAGCATTTGGGACAATATTTCCCTGAAGGTAGATAACTAATAGATGACTGGCCAAGTTCCCTTGGTCTCTGCTTATAATTCTGGTTTTACAAACCATGCTGTTCCAAAAGGCAGGAACTGCATCTCTTGCATTTTTGTTGTTGTTGTTGCTGTTGTTCTTGCTGCTTGGCATAGATGACTCAAAAAATCATGTGAAAGTTTTTGTTTTACTCTCCTTTCCAAAAGTCCACATTGAATAGATTCTCCAAAGCAGTAATTTACAGAAATCAGAAGGGATGGTCCAGAAAATCTCTCCTTTAATTTCTAGCTTTGAAAAATATGGTTACTGGGGAAACAAATTCTGTCCTTCACTGCTCTGGCCCCTTCCTCATAATTCTGGGGATATTCATGCATGCAAAATGCAAAGCAGGGCACAGAACACAAATATGAGAGCTATCAAAACATTTATTTCATGAACTACAGAGCTCTGGGTAGACTGCTGATCAAAATTAAAAATTAAGGAGTATGGAGAATAGATGTTGGAGAAAGGGCACAGCTTAAAGATCTTTTAAGCAAAGGACAATTTTACCCTCTCATATGCTTCTCAAGGTAAACATATCAAGTGAGAAGCACCATGGACAGATTCCTTCAGTTGGGTCAGGGATATACCATGGGCTTTTGCTTAATGCAAATATAAAAAGTACTGATAAAATGCTATATCCTTCTTGTGCACCTTAGCTATGAAGTAAAAGGCAGCGTACCCACCGAAAGGGCAGTAAAACATCTGAAGGATCTGGCCTTAGAACAGGAGCATGGAATGTAATTAAGATCATATCTTTCTAATTAAAAATCATTGTTTCTAGCGGGGTGTGGGGGTGCATATCTGTAATCCCAGCACTCTGGCAGCCTGAGGCAGAAGGATCATGAGTTCAAGGCCAGCCTGGGTAACTTAGTGGGACACTGTCTCAAAATAAAAATTACTTAATAAATTAATTAAAAGGGCTGCGGATGCAGCGCAGTGAAAAGATCCTGTGCTCAATCCTTAGTAACACACACACACACACACACACACACACACACAAATTGTATTTCCTTCCATTCTTTAAAATAAGCAATTTCAGCACATATATTTTCCATATGTCATGGTAGTGATACTTAAAATTTTAAAAACTTTTACCAAAGTTGAAAACTTGTCATATTCTCTGTCAATTATTCATTGCCTTATTATTTAGCATCTTCCCGCATCTAGCCAAACCACACCGTGGCACTGTTTTGCAGGCAGCCTGGGAAGAATGACGGCCCTCTCCTGCCAGGTTCCCATGCCGGTTAGTCTCAACTGAACTGTCATTTTTATAACAATTTTTAATTTAATAAATCATAAGTCTTTATTTACAACCTAAGAATATCATAATGGAACACCATCTCTGTGTGACTGGGAATTAAATCTCTGTCATTTGGAACCAAATTCCCACTTCCAAAAATATTGGGAGTCCCCAGATAAGCCAAGTCCTCTCCCAGGGACTCTAGAACAGTAGGAATTCGACCACATCACACCCAAGACATCTGGCAGCTAAGGCTTTGCTGCAGTGGTTGTTCATTCTTTATTCAAATGGGTATGGCCTCTCTGAACCACTCTGTTCTGGAAGAAAACAGTTGCTGACACACAAGGAGAAAGGAGTGAATGTTTCGTTAAAAATCTGAGCCTCTGAATCTCATTCTAAAACACCTATTCCTAGGCTACCCTTGTCCTGACTCTATTCATTAGGCTCCATCATCCCAAGTCAATTCATATACACAACCCAAGCTTCCAATAATGAGGGAATGCCAAGACAAATGCACTACAGCTGCATGAAGTCTCAAGTTATTGAATTAGGTTGGCATAACTTTAAATATTAAACAATCTTCCCAGCCCCTGGTTATTGTCACTCACTACGGGAGACATATGTCATATTATCTGCCCAACATTGTTTCTCCTTGTCTGACTACAACATCCCTTTTTCCTCTGGGTAATTATTCTTCTGCCAATTCTGGTAGTGCTGGATACCTAGGAAGAAAATGGCTCCCAAGAAAGGCCACTGGAGACTTTTCCTGGATCTTACATGTGGACACTGAGGGGAAGGCAAGCTCTGATTTTGAGAATCATTTTCTAGTTTCATGAAGCCTGGAGTACTCTCTGCAGACTCCTTCACCCACCCAACAAGATTAACCAAAAAGATAAGCCAAGAAAGAGACTCACTGATGTCATTTTTTAAAAATCCCTGAATCCAACCATGCCTGAGGCCAATTCAACTTCTGCACTTTGAAATTACCTTGGCTGAACCTAGGCTTTCTGTGATGTAAAGAGCCCTTTCTGACACATGCACATATTTTAATACCCATATCCCACCTTTAGGTTCTGATAGAGTTTGGATACGTAATGTCACCCAATGACTCATGTGTTGACAGCTTGGTCCAGCAATGTTCTGAGGTGGGACTTTGGGGAAGTAATTGGATCAAGACTCTGAGCTCATTAATGACTTAATCAGTTGATAGGATCATAACTTGATAGGCCATTGGGAAGCTATGGAAACTGGAGGAGATTGGGCCTAGTTAGGGGAAGGTCACTAGGGGCATGACCTGGAAGAGTTTATCTTGTTCATGGCCCCTTCTTCTCTCCCCCTCACTGCCTCTTTGCTTCCTGGTTGCCATGAAGAGAGAAACTTCCTTCCTCATACACTCACACCCACCATGATGCTCTGCTTCACCTCCAGCCCAAAGCGATGGAGCCAGCACCGTGGACTAAAGCCTCTGAAACATAAGCCAAACTAAATCTTTCCTCTTTTAAGTTGTTTTTCTTGGGCACTTTGTCATAGTAATGGAAATCTTACTAACACAGTTTCCTTTAATTTGTTTTTTAGCACTTTCCTCCCCTCCCCCAAGGCTAGGTTGAAAATTCTCCCCGCTCCCGCACACTTAAAATCCCTACAGAACATATCCCTTGATTATTTCATCCCTTGGTTATAAACTCACTCAAATTTCATTTCATGATGAAAGTGTTTGACTCATCAAATTATCTGCTATTCTCAGGAATCCATCTCCTTAGAAAGTTCTCGTGAAACTTCCTTCTCATTGTAACTCTGGGTTCTTGTTTTACTTCCCTCATCTAATGATCTCTACTCTACTTATACTAGATTTTCCCTTCCATTCCTTACCCTGCTATTCTTATTTCCTTTCTTCTTCACTGTCCTTTTTTAAAAAGGTTTTTCTACAGCAGGAGATATTAACAATGTCTGTAGACTATTTATTAACAGGCTTCAGGATGTCTCGGTCTCTTGAAAAGTTTTACATGAATATTCATATTTACAGACATTAGTTATCAATTGCTATGTATCAAGTTACCCCATAATGTAGCAGCTGAAAACAGCAAACATTTATTTCACGTTTCCTATTTGTCAGAAATCCCAGATGTGGCTCAACTGGGGGGTCTCGGTATCTCACAATGTAGCAGTTGCAGTATAAGTCAGGAATTTTTGTACCATATAAGGACTCTGGAGAAGGGAAATCCATTCTAAGCTCACTCATGAGGCTGTTAGCAGGAGTCAGTTTCTTACACGTTATTAGCAGGAATCTGCCCATTCTTGTGTGTGGATCTCACACAGGCCAGCAGGAGAGATAAAGGGCAAATGAAGGAGACACTACTTACTTTATGTAATTTAATCTCAGCAGAGGTATCTTATCTCTTTTGTTGTATTCTACTGACTAAACCCCACCCATTCTGAGAGGAGGGGCTGCACACGGTGGGGGAGGTAGTAGGATGCATAGTCATTGGGGGCCATCTCAGGGACTGTACCACAGGCATCCAGAAAGAAAGCAGAACCATATCTTTTATCATACTTTAAAATTTCTGAATCAACATTTGTATTAAGTCTTTGCTTCTGTCTTAACCACCAATTCACCAAAAATCTTTTATAATTTCA